GCACACTTCCATGCAGCATTATTGTAATAAAATTGATATATACTATAAGAGGTTCACTTACTAAAGCAAGATTTAGGTCTCTGTGAGTGCAAAAAAAAAGGAACATTGAATGAAATATCATAGATATCTGAAAATGCATGACTAACTCCATTGCTTTAGATAAGAAAATTGCTGAACACTGTGCAAATCCACGGCCTGGGTCAGCACCTTTTCCTGATATCTTGACTGTCAGCCAGGCAGAGCACCAGGCTCATCACTGTAAGCTGTGGGCCGGCGGGCTCTGGACAGCTTGTGTCTGTCATGAGTAGTTATGTGTTGGGTCCTGATTGTTTGGGAAGAGAGCCAAACCTGCTGCTGTGCTGTGGATGAGAGGTGGTATGGATGAGATGTTGTTTGTAGAAGTGTGGCGAAAACAACATCTATCAGGCCTGCACAGTGTGGCGTAGTACTGCATATCCACAGTTTCACTTCTTTTCAAAGTAAAATAAGTCTACGGGAATTTGTCATGGAAACACGCTGGCAGCGTCGACAGTACTCGTCCTTCCTGATGTACATTTACTGAGGTAGAAGTCCTAATATAACATTGCATTGGCTATTTTTCTCAGTTCAGAACTCAATCGCTAACAGTGATTTTGCACGACAGTATCACATGTGCTCTCCCCTCTTTATAAGCCAAATCATAGCGTTGCACTGCTGCCTTATCCCAAGTTTAGGATTATAAACAACAGGATCCAGGCTTTTGCAGTTTTCAGTGCCCGAAACTTGTTTGAAGAGTCAGTTAACTTGATTTCCTTTTCACATGTTTTCTTAACTTACAGTGTCTGTCTTTCATTCTGTTTATTACTTTATGCACTGTACTCTAAACCCTAACATTTTCTGAACAGACAGGACGACACTGCTGTCTTTTATTCTATCTTTCAAATTAAATATCCATGTTTCACTCATACGATGCATATTGCATTATTGTACATGAGTCAACAGCATCAGGGCCTCCGGAGAGTTTCTTTTTGACTATATAGAATGTGAATCTTCAAAGAAATGTAGGGCCCTTATGCCGAGGGAAATAATCCCATCAAATTGGGATGAGGGCAGCAGTAGCTCTTGAGACTAGACTGCAATAACACTTGTTCTTGACAGCAACAGGGTTTTATTAATGAAAAACAAAAAAAACGCAATGCTGTTTTGTTTTATATATGCAGACAAGATAGACGAACTCTGACCACTTGTATTTGTTGAAAAAGCTGTCACATCATTATCAATATAACGATAGATCTCTGATGTATTCTGTTGGTTACGTTGTGATTAATCGTTGGTTGTCATTGGAATTAGCCTCCCAACTACTGAATCAACTATTACCTGTTTCTCCAACAGCCTGAAAACACATCTGGTATTTATTTGTGGTTTGCTGGTTGTAGAGCTGACTGCCTGTGATAAATGAAATGCAGCAAAAATCTGGTGAAGCGTGGCCCATTGGTCTGCTCTCCCATTCATAAAGAAGGCATTCACAGTGTTTGGTGCCATTACTTCATGAAAACACCTTCTCATGATCTGTCAAAGGAAACAACTGATTTGTCAAAAGTGAGAACATAGGAGATTTTAAACTCAATATATGTGCACACATCTCTGTTTTTCAGAGGAGTTTGGCTGATTTTCTATGACAGTTTGTGCAGCCAGGACTTTTTGCAGTCACATGTGTACTCACCTAAAATAGCTTTTTGAAAGACGTACACTTGTTCACAATAGCCGTCACTCTTTCAGTCCGTTGTTGTGTGTCATGCGGATGGTGAGATCACAAACTTTCCATTTGCTCAATTGTTTGGTTTAATGAGTTACTTTTATTGTTCCTCCAGGTAAGAATTATGATATATGGTGATGGGATTCTTTGTGATTGCATTACTGCTGATTAATGTTTTACTATATGAAGCAGCTGATGCAGATTTACAGTCATTGGCCTTCTTAATTTGATTTATTTACATCAGCTCTATGATGCTAGCATGTAGACATTACATCTGTATACCTTCCGGTATGTAGATTAGAAAGTATGAGATCAAACTAGAACTGTTGAAAAATTACCACGAAAGACGTAATCCATTGATTAACTTGGGTTTGTTATGTTAGCAGTAGCTAATGAAGCCTCAAGGCGCTGGTCAAGTAGAGATGAGGTTACTGAGGTTTGTAAGTTCACCCCTTTCTAACTTCACAGCCACAATATTTCTGTTTTTTTTTTCAATTTGTCAAATTAATCAGATTCTTTGCAGCTCCCTCTTTTTTTCCCCCCACATATGCAGTAAAGCTTCCCAAGACCGGAAACAGACTTTGATGAGTCACAAATTAGGTTTCCTCTTTAAAACCCACAACGTTCAGATTTTCCTGCTTGCTGCTTTAACGCTGACTGAACGTGCAGTTAGACCAGACACCACAGCTCACGTGTTTTAGTGAAGAAGGGTGCAAGATGTGGGCTTGAAATTATGGACTGATCTGACTTTGTTCACTTTGTACTTAGTTAGATCTCGCTGAACTTAAGTGTGTTAATATTTTACGTATACTGTCCATGTTTAATTATATGTAGCTGGTTCCTTTACCTCTCGGGTCATGGAGGGTCAGAGTGGAGATCTGATCAACGGTGGTGGCTTTGTTGACTTCATGATTCCACACAGACACACATACACACACGCACACACACAAAGATTTACAGTGATCAGGATGCCCTCCAACAGCTCAGGTCACTCCAGATTCCATCAAAGGTCTTTTAGTAGCTTTGACGTTATCACTGTATGTTTAAGTAAACTGAGGTTGTGTGGTCAGATGCAGGGTCATGGTGCGTGTGTGTGTGTGTGTGTGTGTGTGTGCGTGCGTGCATGGGGTTATCTGTTTATTTTTTGCCTGTGCGTCTATCTGTCCTGACTGTTTACCTGTCTGTCCTCTCCTAAAGGTACGCCTGTCTGTCAGATTGTGTGTCTCTCCTCATATTTTGTTGTAGGTCACTCTGCGCTGTCCGTCACAGCAGTTTGAAGATGACTGTAGCAGGAAGGAGTGTGTCTGCATATAGCAAATAGCTGCTGGGAATACCCTCATTCTCCACACAACCATTACTACAATCACTTGTGGTTTTGGAGTGTCTCAGATATCAAAAAATAATTCCAGGTTTTGTGATGGTTGGTATCATGTGGTTTTGCAGCCAAGTTAAAATGTATAATTTGGATCATGGTTAGTGGACAAACTTTCTCATGTGAACCACAAAATGAAATGATGGATTAAAACTTTAAACGTAGTGTTGCTCCTCCAGTGTGATCCTTTGCTCGTCTTGTTTTCTCTTATGTGAAAAAGAGCATGGCAGCTTTTTTTTTTTTTATTTTTTTTTTAAACAGACTGTTTTCTCTTTTTTTCAACAACTCTACATTTCCACGTTGCCCTATCTGTGGTCAGCCTTATTTCCACTCCTCCCTTCCCTGACCCTTTTCCATTAATCTTCACTCTTACCTTTAAGACTTACCTCTTCTTATCGCTGGCTTCCCTCCCTTTGTCACTTTTTCCTTGAGCCTCTTCCTGGTTTCAGCCCTCCCCCTGTCCTCCACGTACAACCCCTGATATTCGTCCTCCCCATTTTCTCCCCCCTCCCCTTCCACCTTTCGCCTGACTTCCTTTGACGTTTGAAGGAGAGTGGGGATCCACTCAGCTGACAAAGGGAGAGGCGATGACGTCACAGCAGACATGATACACCAGCATCTGCTCTGGTCTAAAAATACACACCACAGGGCACACACAGTCAGTCTGCAGCTGCACTCAGCATTTGTTTCCACCTCCACGCTCTACTGAGATGGCCCAGCTTTTTACACAACTGGGGCTTGTGGGCACGCTGGGCTACATGCTGCTGGAATACAACTGAGCAGCCTTGATGTGTGTAGATAATACAGTTTAAGAATCTGGGTGGATGAGGGTGTAAGTTTGCTGATAGGAAGGCAGGAGGGTTTAAACAAGGTTTCTTTGTAAACATACAAATAGAAATTGTGGCATCACCATTGTGCTATGATGATGAACTAAAACTTAGCTTATTGAAATTATCTATTCGAACTACCAGGGTGGTCTTTTTTTATTTTTTTTGTGCGATATTTTTGTGATTGGAATATTTTAGCTTTTAAAAAATATTGTTCTCCCTTACTGATGTTTCTTTTATTCATCTTCAGGGCTTAAGACATGTTTTTAAATAGTTATTTCAATTATTCATAAGTGAGTCAAAAAAAAAAAAAAAGGTATTTTGTGTAATTTTTTGAAATAGGAATCTTATGTCTGTGCGTGTCAGTCTGGTCAGCTACTCTATGTGCAATATTTACTTTGGACGTCAACTGTAGGTGATTTCTATATCATGATATTATACGATTATGTAGCTAAATGTTACTATACATTTTTATAAATTAGTTTTGTAGAATCTTTACACTTGGATGACAATTTTCTGAAAGCTTTTAAAATAAAATCACCTTATTTAGTAGCTAACTACAAATGATACAAATTCTAAAAAATGGTCTTTTGCACTTTTAGTAGAGTTTTTATATTTTTTATTTTATATTTTATTGCTATTTTATGATTTATGTCACCTTTTTACTTTGTTTTCTTTTTTTTTTAGACTGTGACCTTATTAGCTGCTGCAATGATGATACCAAATTTTGTTGTATCTCTTGTACAATAAAAATAAAGCTTATTCTTTACAGTAACAGCTAGCTGTTGCCATAGTAACCTCGTTAGCTTTATTTCCTTTGCAACATACCTTGGAACAACACACCGATGTTTGCGTGTTTAAAAATTTGATGAATAAAATGAAAAATAATCACAAAACGCAACATTTAAATCATGTTGTGTCATAAAATATTTATTTTAGCAAAACTGTCAGTATAGCATTTATTTATTATGAACAACCATGAATTCTAATAGACATAGTTCTACTGGTTTATAGAGGACTTTATGTTCCAATGATCTATCCATTTTTGCAAAAAAAAAATCTGGACATGACAGTCTCAACCCCAATCGCTGCCAAAGTCCCTTTGAGCAAGGCAGCGTACCTCCAGCTCCTCTGGCCCTCACCAGTGGAGGATCGTGTGAGTGCTTCGTAGTTCCCTGGTGCTGAGTGGGTGTTTGTGTGCGAGCCTCTCTGACCCTGTGTTTACTCCCCGAGGCCATCACTGTAAATAAGAGTGTGTTCTTAGTGAAGTTGCTGGGCTGAATAATTAAAGGGTTTTTTATCTGCACTGCTTTTGTGCTACATATATGCCTCTTGACCAAACCTCTCTTATTTTTCTTCTACCCTGCTGTGTTGCAAAATAGTGCTGATTTATGTCATTATATAGAGGTTTTTATTTTTCAGCTACAAAAACATAAACTTGAAATAAAAAGAATGAGTCAAATTTACTGTTTAAATTTTTTCAGAATGTAAATTTTAAAATCACATTACTAGTGTCATATAATATTTCTGTGCACATCAGAGTAATGCTTGTCTTTCTTCTTCCTGTGTCCTCCGTGTGCTCGTATGTGTGAATGTTTTTTGTCTGTTGCTGGTGTTGGCATGTAACTAGGGAAGTGGAGCAGGCAGGTCTGTCAGACTTGGAGATCATCTCCCAGCCGGTGGAGGATGAGAACCAATGCTTGGCTCCTCCAGTCCAGCTGGTGAGTTTTGGCTACAGAGATCTGCCCCTCGCAGCTCTGGACCTCTCGCTGGCTGGCTCGCAGCTGCTCTCCAACGCAGATGAAGATGAAAACAGGGAAGGGTGAGTGGAACTGTTTCTTTTATAATGTGTGATTTATAAAGCTGTTTTTGTTTTTTTTAACATGGTCTGCCACTGTGGCAATGTGTGAGTGACACGCATTGGATCAAGTGTTGGTTTAACAGTGTTTCTGGGTGAATTCAGAGTGAGATTTGTTTCTCTGAACAGTTTGGCAACAGGCAGGTGTGAGAGAAAACACAGTGGGGATATTTTTATAGGTGACTATCCAGAAATGATTTGGAATAGTTTCTTGTCTGAAGTGGCACAAATACACACTGTCAGTCACTGTTGAGCAAACAGATTCCTTCACGTTATGAATTCTGATTTGTAGCGATCTCAAAGGACCTGACTTCCAAAAACAAGTCAACATACTACTTTATTGAAAGCCTCTGTCAAACATTATCTTCTTCCTTACTGATAGTTAATAGCTATCTCTTCCATGTTTTGAGTCTTCAATGTCTGCACTCATCTCAGAAAGTATTTGGACTATTTCTTATTTTGCACACTTTATTGTATTGTGGATTTAATTTAAAACTAATTACATTTTAGTCTGTGCTTAGCAACAAATAATGACATAGTGAAAATGTGGTTTCAGAAATTTAAGGAAATTTATTACAACTGTTGGAACCTTCAGTCTTCTCCCTCCAAACTCTCTTAGATTGGGTAAGAAGTGTCTGTGAAATGTTATCTTCAGGTCTGTCTACTGGCATGCTATGTGAAATTTAAATCTGGCCTTTGGCTCTGCCCCTCAAGGACAGTCAGATACGTGTCCTGAAGCCTCTCCAACATCGTCTTGGCTGCATGCTTTGATTTCCTGTCATGCTGATAGGTGCACCGTCACCCTATGGTCTCCATTTGCTTTGTGCTGCACTTATTCTTCAAGGATCTTTCAGCATTTGGCTGCATTCATTCCACCTTTAGTTCTGATGAATTTCTCTGTTCCCCGTCACTGAGAAGCGCTACCGTAGCAGGATGTTGCCACCACCATGCTTCAGTGTAGGGATGTATCAGCAGATGATGAGCGGTGTCTTGTGTTTGCCTGACATAGTGCTTTGAGATCTGGCCAAACAGTTACGCTTTTGACTCATCAGATCAGAGATTGCTTTTTGTTGTGCTCTCACAGTCATTTCATATCAGATTGGTTAACTTACAAGTAGGCTGTCTTTTGCTCAGAGTAGATTTTATCTAGCTGAAGTGCTGCTGAGTTGCTCATACTTTTAGCAGGTTCTCCATTTCTGCACAGGACTATGAAGCTTTGTTAGAGTGACTGTTGTTTTCTTGGTCACCTCCCTGGTTCGGGAGGATGTCTAACTCTGTGTATAGTCCTGGTGTTTCAGACCTCTTCTATTTTACAATTGCTGATGCCACTGTGCTCCCGGGAATGCTTAGAGCTTTGGAAATGGTTGTGTACCGTTGCCCCATCTATACCTCAGCACAGCTTTATGTTGGGGGTCTACAGAGAGTCCTTCTGGGCTTCTTGCTTGTTTCTCTAATAAGTAGTATGAATTCTGGTATCTTCATAGACACAGTTGTAAGCCTTTTGAAGTGTTCTCCAAACCATGGTGGACTTCTGTCAAGTTCTACACACATTCGGGATCAAGGATAGAATAGATGTGATCACAACTAGGAGCCACAGCAAGGGGTCTGAACACTTGTCGAAATGAAAGACTCCAGATTTGTTTTGATTTGATATATATAAATGTACAAATATTCATAAAACATGTTTTCACTTTATCATCATGAGTTATTGTAAAACCTTTGGAGAATGTTTATGTGATTAATTTCTATTGTGTAGCAGGTGTACAAAAAAAGAGAAGTGCTTACCAGCATTATATGAAAAATGATTCAGAGAAATGAAATGACTGAAATGAATTAGCATTCAGAGCTCAGCATCCTTGCCCTGAGGTGATTACACTGACCAAAACATCAGACTTAAGAGCAAGTGACAGCAGTGGTAAGTCAGTCATTCTTACCTGTCGTATTTAAACATACAGCTCTACTATGGAGGTGCCCGACTCTTAAATTCTCCTGATGTGGTTGGATTTAGGACCTGACTGATGCAAAGGAAACTTCATTGATCTTTCCACTGTCAGCAGTGACAGGGTTCAGGGGAAACTTGGAGAGACAGCAGTGCACAGTTTGTATTGGTGTTTGCAAAAAATCCAAAGACAGTAGGTGGAAGGGGTCAAAGGGTTGATGAGCATCGTATACTTGAACATGTCAGCTTTAAGGTAACCCAATATAATGGAAATATATTGTGAAAGTTTCAGTGCACTGAACTGAAAGGCATTTCATATTGCCTTCTTCTCTGCTGGAGCTTGATTGTAATGATATCGACACGAGTGTTTGGATTGAGTCTGGAATACGTTTATTACTGCCAGCGTCCAACGAGGAGTTGTCACTGTGGAGTTATGAGCAAAAAGGAAGAGTGTGAGATAATCTGAGCGTATCATCTCATTCGAAAGTAGGAAGAATTCAAGTGCAAAAAGACAATGAATTTTTCTACTTACAGATAAGGTGAAAAACAAAACCCAGGTAGATAAGGTTTGTGCCTGGTGCTGTGAAAATGTAGATTGTTTCCATCTATGTCAGAATATAGGACATCTTTCATATTATGTAGGTAGCAAGGACAAATTTGTTTACCTGTTCTGGAGGGAGAACTATTCAGTCTGTGAAAGAGTTTAATTAACCCTGATGATGCCAACATCTTTTTTTTTACCATGTGGCTTATGTTACACATTTGGGACACAAGTTTGAAAGACAGAGACACTAATCAAGCAGGCAGGACTGAGACACTAGCACACTAAAATTTAGGATGCAATGTTTTGTATAGCTGGACCTGTGAGGACTAAAAATTAGGGTGTCTCAGAATCTAGTGCTTTGATTTTGATGACTCCACTATTAATGATTGCCTTATTTGTTGGTGAAGCATCCCTTTAATCTGTTTGAGACAAAATATGATTTATTGTTTAAATAGCATATACGAATGTTATATTATTTCTAGTCTATGACTGCAGTTTATGTAAATGTTGTACAAACCACCTTCATTGCAAATATTTAGTAATGTAATACCATTTTTCAATTAGGCGGTTACCATAAATATTGTTTGTCAGAAGCAGGTTCAGTAGGATAAGATATTGGCACATTGGATGGATTTCCATTCGTATGCAAGAGACCAGCAATGTTGATATGTATGCGTATCGTATATATATATATATATATATGCATGTATCTGCAGTGCACATGTAGAGGGGTGTCAGCGTGTTCTTGACACGAACAATACCTCCCCTGGTAAGAAGATTATGACGGCTATTGTGGAGCAATAGCAGCTTACAATATATATTTTTACGGTCCCTATCAAACAGGAGCCGCTGTTCCCACAGAGACACATCCATATTTACACACATGCACATGGCCCATCAGGCTTGCATAAATGCCACATTGTACGCAAGATTACCATCCATCATGTGTTAAGTCTCCCTCCCAGAGTCCTTGACTTGCTGTCCCCGTTGCTCAGTATTACGTCCATTTATCATTAACTGACAACCTCGGGGTTGTCCAGCGTCCATAAGTTAACTGAGATCAATTCATCATTCCAGACTAAATATCTGCCCCCCTCCCCTTGCCTGCTGACAATAGGAGCCTTTATTTTAAGTGACATTTTACAGTGCATGAGCCAGAAGCCGATACTATCACACACTTAATTTCTTGTAAGCCTTTTGTGCTGTCTAACTATACATGCCGTCACATTTAATTACTTTATTGGGTCTCATACAGTTGATCAAAGGCGTGTTGTTAAAGGTTGTAATGCGACACACTTCTATGAATTTCACAATGTTTCATCTCTGAAGTTATTTAAAACCTACAAATTATCACAGACATTGTTGGCTGACTTTGAAATTGTTTGATGTTCACTTTTTTTTCTTTTTTAATTCATACATTTCTGTGTAACTGGTATTTCTGTTAAGATGCAACATTTAGTACCATGTTGTAAATGATAAAAATGATAAAATAGTTTAACAATGACAAAGTTTCTGCAAAGTCATTTCAGTCACAGTATACATAGAAACTGCTGATCACAGTCCTTGTTTTTTTCCGCTTTAACGTGATTGTGCGAAATGTTGGTTTGACCTATGGATATGAGGTCACATCACAGCTGTCCTTTTGATTAGTCACAACTTTAACAGTTTTTTTTTTCACTCTGCGAAGCCTGCTCACTGTCCAGTCTTTGCATTCTGTCCAGCAACTGTGAGTCAAACCTGCATCTTAGTGGGAGCTCTCAGTAGGATGCACATAAACACCATAAGCTGTAGTACAGGATCCAACGCACACAAGCCAAATCCATACAAGCTACCTTATCCAAGTACTCCGTTTGACACCAAATCAGGTCTCACTCCATTGGTTCCCTTCAGTTAGCCAGTCACGGCCAGAAACAGATGGATTTCACAGACGCACCGTCAACAGCAGGTAGCGCCGACACTCACACTGTGCTGATATTACAACTAGTACAACCCTTGTGTGTCCTATTCCGTATCAGGGCCAGTGGTAGCAGTGTATTTCCATCCCTATGCATAATGGATAGATGTGTCAATGTTTGCTGCGAATGTGCTTTGATGCCAGTTGCTCACTATCTGGGGTTGCTGCTGTTGGGAAACACTTTGGTGTACAATGATGAATTATAAATGCTGCGTTTCCTACTGTACCCCAACCTATGACATACCTGTACGGTGTTTCCTAAGAGTTATCCACTTACTGGGCCACAGTCCTGCTGTTGTTAAATAATCTCAAAATTGAACAAATGAACTTTGGTCCGAGGGTAAGGCATTTTCTCCTGGTGGTCCAGAGGCTAAAAAACTGTAAAAACTCCTGCCGTAAGAAGCTGTAACAACAGATTTAGCATACAGTGTGGTGAAGGTTGTTTTACCAGTGAGCTCAATTTACTCAAAGTGCGCTCAGTGTGATGGGGTCACTATTTCATATTCAAGTCATTAGTGCAAAATGTC